TCAAATGCTAAACACCTTCTTTTAGCAGTGTACAACCATTGGATTGGTACGCATAATAGTAGCACCTTTCAATGCAACCCGAAAATAAACAGGCTTGCAACAGCTTCTTCTTAACAATCATAAGAGGAGTAGTCAAGTCATTCACAACAGAAACATAAGTAACATCATCAATAACGTTAATTTCCTTATCGTGATTAGGCATAGGTGTAGTGATCAAATTGGGAGTCTCAGGAGGATCAAATTCAATCTCCTTAGCGTCAATCATGTCTTAGATCTTATTCTTTAGAGCCCGATAGTTGTTAGTGTCATGTCCTGGACTATTGGAGTGATATGCACACCTTACATTGGGATTGTAACAGGGAGAGGAAGTATTAAGATTCTGAGGAGGGTCTTTCAATGTAATCAGCTCTGCTTCCAACATGTGTTGCAATTCTTGATACAGCAACATATTGATTCTTGTGAACTATCTCCTGGGTGCATCCTTCCTACGCTTATTACTCTGTTGTTGTTGTTATTGTGGTACTGGCGCGAGATTAGAGATCAGAACTGCCCCCATAGATTGGTTGGCGTTACTCTTACTACGACCCTTCTGGACGTACACAACATTGGATTCTTTCTTACCATTATAAGACTTCTTCACAGTATTCGAAGATGTAGACACCTGGATTTTACCACTTCTGATTCCATTCCCAACATGTTCTCCTATTAATATCAGTTCAGTGAAACCAGTTGAAGAACTTCCAAGTAGGTGATTATAGAAAGGAACTTTTAGCGTACTCATGAACATGTCAACCAATTCTCTATCAGCCAAAGGAGATTTAACTCTGCCTACAAGATCTCTCCATTTTTGTGCGTACTCTTTAAAGCCTTCCTCATAACCCATGGACATACTTTATAGTTGCATGCGGGTTGGTTCCAAATCATAATTATATTGATATTGTTTATAGAAAGCTGCATCCAAATCTTCCCAGGTATGGATATTGGTACCTTCGAGTTGATAATACCATTCTAGTTGTGTTCCAGAAAAACTCTCTTGAAATAAATGCAACCATAATTTCTTGTCAGTAGTGTGTGGTTGAATTTTCCGAACATATGATCTCAAATGCAACTTTAGGCAAGAAACTCCATCATACTTGGCAAAGGTAGAAGTTTTGAACTTTGGAGGAATGATGACTCATGAGACTAAACCTAATTCTTCAAAGTTTAAGCCAGGCACCTTCTAGATCTCCATAGCTTTCAGACGCTCTTCTAACAGCTTATACTTCTCATCAACAGGGGGATATTATTCATCTAAATAATCCTCTTCCTCTTCATCAAGAAACTTGTCATAACCAAGATTGTTTCTTTCAGTTTTAACACTTTTACCATCTTCATCCTGGTTGTCATCTTCGTCTGATGGGATATCAAGATCTTAAGCTCGCTTGAATGGACCTCTTGACCTCCTCCCCATGTTAAGGACGCCGATTAGTTTCTTTGTCTTCTTCTTCTTCCCATTGATGATGAGCGCCTTCAGTTCTTCTTGTCCCTTGGCTATGTTTAGGAATATCTGTTGGAATTGGGCATTCTGAGCCTAGAGATCTTTGACTGTCTGTTCAAGAGCCATTTTCTGTTGAAATAAACAACAAGAAGATGAGAAAACTTGTCTTGAAAACCTGTTATGTAATGATATGTATGGTATGTAGATGCATATACAATGTTTTCAAGAACCTCGTGGGATTCAAATTTGTTAATAAAACGGAAACAACAACAAAGATTCTTGTTAGTAAGTTCGAATTATAAACGCCTTTTAGGCTTACAATGAAAACAAAAATAAGGGTTACAAAGGAATAAATTATGACTCAAGTCTCCGATGGACGCTTCCTCTTTGTGTTGACATATCCATTAAGGCTTTGCTCTTCGTGAAGGCGTTTGGTCAGCTCCAATACTTTCTTCTCACTAGCGTAGAACTGATCCTCAAAGGTGTCCCTTTATTCTTTCAGTTGAGTCCAAGACTTCTGTAGCTCTTCAAGGTCAGTAGGCATATCTGGATGAAGAATGGTACGAGGAATATCTTCTTCAGCAACAGGCTCCATAATTACTGGTAGGACAGCAGGATATAGCATTATAAGATTTTGAGCACGAGATCATACCCATCTAAGGTCCGGCTCTAAAGGGATGGAGTTTTTCTATCCCAAAGTCTTGATATCAATCTTATTCACCATGCCCCAAGTACATATAAACCTTTAACGGTAACCTTGAAATCGTTCTCGTAATCGAATACAATATCCTGGATGAGCATATCATGAGGACCGTCTCTTCGAGCATAACCAAATTGACTTAAAGCTTGAGAAGGGTTGAAAGTGATACCTTCCCTTTCGCCAAGGAGTGGCACATTAGGGAATTCCCAACAACGGTCAATAATAGTGATATCCTCTTGAGACCGGGAACCCTAATAGATATTTGAATGAGAGAGTGACATCATCCTTTGAGACCACCTCAAACCTTATTCATTCTTCACCACAGATCGGGGAAGGTGAAAAATAAACCAACTGAATGGTAAAGGAATGTGTAATACGGTGGGAGAACTGACTTTACTGGTTTTCCGTTATATCGTAAATGTTGCAGTTAGCAAGAGCCACCACCACTTTTCTTTATCCAACAAAGGAAAGGGTGAAAAGAACAGGAAAAACCTTTTTAAAAGATTTTAAGTTCGGGGGGTAGGTTATGGAAAAGGAAAGTATTAGCACCTTTTCTATCTGTAGTTATCTTCGGGCTCTTAGTTGCTAGCTCACTTTTGAAAATGCTTTTTGGTGTAAGTATATTTGAAAATATTTTTGAAAAGACGCCTTAGTGCGGCGAACTTTGTAATGATTATCGTATCGTTGAGAATGCATACAAAGTATTTTTGTCTTTGAAAAATATTTAGAAAAAGAGAGTGTGTATGTGAAAGATTTGTTTTGTTTTGTGAGCAAGAAACTACAAGTTGTTTACCTACTCGAAAGATCTTTGTTCTTTTCCTCATTTCCTTTAGATAGTTCTATCATATCATTAGTTGGTAGGTAGCCTTATCATTGGATGTTTTGAGGGACAAGCGAGGGTCATCGTACAATCACGAAGGCAACTTGTAAGATATTTTAACAATTACCCTAAGGTGTCATGATCATTTACCGAGGCATCGTTGAAGGGTCATCGAGGGACTATGATCTCGTAATCAAGGGTCTTTGCTAAAACTTCTCACGTTCGAGAGACGTGACTGTTTCTTTTCCGAAGGCAACAAGTTGAGGTGCCTTAGAAGTGTGTGTGTGTGCAAAGTGTGTTTTATTTCATTTATTTATCTTAATGTTAGGTTTTCTACCGTTTTCTTTTAAATCTTGTCATGTCAACCTATTAGCATACATCTAACACTTAAATATATACAGACAGAATAAAGATGTCGGAATTAAACTACGATATTACATCGCTTCGGGATGGGGGAGTACAAACCAAAATGGGGGAAGAAATGTAAAGGTCCTATTTAGCTATTACAAATTGTTGACAATTACATAAATTATGAAAAATAATAATGTGAAAATGTAAATAACGCGCGGAGAATGGAAAAGAGGTAATATCTAAAACCCTAAAAATTCTAAGAGTAAAAAAAGATATTTTTGTTGTTTTTTAATTTTAATTAAAAAAAGACTTTTAAACCTAATTCTAACCAATTTTTAATTAACAGAATAATCTCAAAAATGATTTTAATTAATTAATTTTTTATTAAAAAAAGTTAATTAATTAAACCCTAGATCTAATATTTGTTTGGTTTTAGGATTTTATTAACAATTATTTATTAAAAGAAAAGAAAAAAAAAAGGAATAATAAAAAAAATTCAAAATGGGTTGGGCAGTAAAACAAGATTAGGGGGTATGAAAAGAAAATATTAGTCAAGTCCAAAACAAATGGGTCCAAGAGTTTGCGTTGTATCCAGCGTGGCTGATACACTGGATTTCACCATGGGGGACTTCATCAGGATCATTGGATCTGAAATTCTTGAGATCTGAAGGCCTAATCCTCGCGTCTACCATGTGCACTATAACCTCGTTTGTACTTGATCTATAGAATAACACACGAAAAAATAAAAATGCCTTGCTCCTAGATCGAACTCAGGACCAGGAGCATGAAGGCCTTAAGCATCAATATAAATTCAAAATGTAACCATTCTATAATTAATAGCATTAAAAAGGTTTGTCCATTGATGTTACATGTAACTAAGTTAAACAATTTTTTTTAATAATTTGTATTTGGTTTTATTGTTATAGAAAAAATGAATGAATAGAAAGCTAGTGAAATAGAATAAAGGGGGGCTATGACACGTTGGATTTTTTTGTTACATGGAAGGATTATGTTTAAGTGACATTAGTGGAGCAGAGTTGTATCATTGAATTCGTTTAAATAAAAAGTTTAATGAACAAATATTGTCAATGTAAAAAAATTTTAGCCGGTCGTTCAATAAGAAACTTTTAATCTGTCAAAGTATTTAATTTTTTCTAAATTATTAGTATAACGTAATGAAATGCGCGTCATTCATTAAATGACGGTGTAAAATTATTCTATACTATCGGTGCATCTTCTATCTTCTCTTAAACAAATAATAAGGAACAAAATTACGCACAATTCAAACTCGAAGTCTAAAACTGCAAAATACACCTATAACAATGTTTGTTGCAAATAAGAGATTAAGGCGTTGATTCAAACCATGGACTTAATTGACTCTAAATGTCACAATGGTCCCTCAACCATAAAACAAATAGTTTAGCAGAAATCTAGCTGTGTAAATTTCAACAAACGGTAATGTTTTATTTTATTAAACTTTATAATAATAGAAAGTAGAGGATTCTGCATTCTATACTATGTTCATGTAATCCCAGGTGTAAAAAGAGCTATAAGACAAAAGTTCATCCTTAAGCAGTGGAAGTGCTTACTTTATAAAATATTGATGTAACACTTCCCCTTACACTTATTTTCATTTTGCAGTGTTAAAGGGATTAATTAGTCCTCAACTTTGGAGAAATGCACCTTGTTCTTGTTTCTGGAAGACCAATGAATAATTCAGTCTCCACATCTGAATTTGCACTACTTTGATCTGCATTACCTTCAACCTTGTCTATATTTTCTCTATCATCCTTTTTTGCATGTTGTGATGAATAACTATCATACTGCACAAGACTTTGGATTTTCAATATTTCCATTAGGGTAGCACCAGAACTAATTCCAAACAGAATGCCTCACCTTCTTAGAGAGCCTGATATTTTCAGCAACCAGGGTTTTTTCCTGAATTGTATTCAAAATAATTTTCTTCAGATCAGAATCTTTTTTATGTAATGCTATGCTGTGGATTCTATATATAATATAAAGCCAGCTTACCTTTTCTTTTAGCAGTTCAATTTGATCTCTGAAAACCTCGGCCTGAAAAATATAACTTCATCGGTAAAAAAATTTCTTTAAACTTTTAATATTTTGTAGGATTTTTTTTATCATGCTAACCTTTTTTTCTCGAATTTTGGTTATACTCTTCTCCATCTGTTGCTCTATCCTTTGTAGTTCATCAATGGAACTAGTCGCTAAACATTCTCCTAAGAATTTTCTGCAAACGCGACGTGTTTTCATCTTAGACTGAATATTGTAAAAATATTTGTCAGTATGAACATAAATTCAAGATATTTAACCGTTTTGAAGTCTCAAGAAGATGAACCTCTCTCATCATGTTTTCTGTGTCTTCCTTCAAACGCTGTAATATATATGATAATTGTTGAAATATTAAATTAGATTTGTTAAAATATTATATTTGATTTGATTTGATAAGATTTAATATTTAATTATAATTCAAGTTGTATACATCCAAATTCAAATAGGGTTTTATACATATAGTTCTAGTTTGTATCATTATTTGTACAATTCAATAATACAAATCTTTATTTCCTTTATGATTCTCTCTTTCTCTCCTCACTAAAAGCGCCTCACTCACTAACAAATTGGTATCCAGAACTTCCAGTTATTGTTCTTGATCGATTTTTCAAGAACTTCACGTCAGAGATCGTGTTTCTAGGGAAAGTGATTCAACTGCTGCGAAGATGACTAGTGATAAGGGAATTCTGAATTCTCTTCCAATGCTTGACGGTAAGAATTGAATCTGATGGAAAAAACAGATGCAATCCTTGTTTGTCTTCCATGAAACTCTAGAAGTGGTTACCAACGACGTTCCTGCGTTGGCTGCAAATGCAACTGACGAACAGAAAAAAGTCCACAACAAAGTCAAGAAGAAAGATTGCAAGACTGCTTATTGCATTCAGACGGTGGTCAGTGCTGCTAATTTCGAAAGAATCTCTCATGATGAAACGACGAAGGAGGCATGGGATATGCTAGTGAAGTATTACAAAGGAGGTGAGAAAATCAAGGTTGTCAAGTTACAAACCTTGCATCGATAATATGAGTTATTGTCGATGGGAGAAGATGAAAAAGTTGTAGAATATGTGTCTAAGGTTAAAAAACTCATCCATCTCATGAAGGATTGTGGTGAAACCATATCTGATAAGATGATAGTTGAGAATGTTGACCTCTCATTTTGATCACGTTATCGTAGCTACTCAAGAATCCAACAATCTTGAAACCATTAAAGTGGAAGTTTTGGTTGGTTTGTTGGAGGCGCATGAGATGAGGATTGTCGAAATGAAAGGAGTACAAGACTCGATACAGGATCTGTAAGCTCAATCATGGGAAAAGGATGGTGATTCCAACAAATTCAAAGGCAAGTTCGACAAGACTCAGAGCAAGAAGTCTTGGTCGAAACCTCACAAATATCAAGTCGAAGATGGAGCTTCTAAATCCTCGAAAGGATAAGGAGGAAACTATTGAAAGGGAAAATAAGATAAAAAAAAGTGTGCAGTGCTATAATTGTGAAAAATGGGGTCACATGGCCATGAATTGTTGGTACAGAAAAGACAGGGGATCGACAAGTAAGGACGAAGGAGCGAACCTTGCACGCCAAGATTCAGATGACTCTACAGGTGGTATAGTGGTTATGGTTACAGTATGTCGAATCCAAAATCTAGTTTCTCGACTCAGACTGCTCGAACCACATGACTGGTCGAAAGGAGTGGTTGGCAGATTTTGATGGGTCGAAGAAGAGCAAGGTAAAACTTGTTGATAATAGTTCGTTGCAAACAGAAGGTACTGAAAATATAGTCTTTCAAATGAGTAATAGAGGGAAAGCTATGATCAAATATGTGTTTTATGTACCTGGAATAAAGTGAAACTTGCTAAGTGTTGGACAACTAGTCGAAAAAGGTTTCTCAATTGTCATGAAAGATGGAGTTTTGAAATTATTCGACACCAAGAACAATTTAGTCTTAAAATCTCCGTTATCGAGAAACATGACATTTAAGACTATGATCAGTTCGACTGAAGTTCAACATTTGAAAATTGTTGTTGGCCACAAGGATAATTGGTTATGGCATTTGAGATTTGGACATTTAAATTTTCGATCACTCAGTCAACTGATTACTCAATATATGGTTATTGGAATTCCAAGTCTTGAGATGTCTGAAAAACTTTGTGAAGGTTGTTTAATAGGAAAGCAATCCAGAAATTCTTTTGTTTTGACAATGCCAATGAGATCATCTTGCATACTCGAAGTGGTACATTCAGATGTATGTGGTCCATTCGAAGAACATACAATTGGTGGAAACAAATATTATGTTTCATTTTTTGATGAGTTTAGTCTAAAGCCGTGGATCTATGTGATCAAATGAAAGCACGAAGTATTCAAAATCTTTAAGAGATTCAAGATACTTATTGAAAACCAGGGTGAGAAGAACATCAAAGTTCTACGAACACATGGAGGTGGCGAATACACATCCAAGATGTTTGAAGATTTATGTGCAGAACATGGTGTTGATCATGAGGTAACTGCTCCTTATACACCTAAACATAATGGAATTGCTGAAAGAAGAAACAAAACCATATTAGATATGGCGAGATGCATGCTGAAGCAAAAGAATTTGCCAAAGTCTTTATGGGGAGAAGCTGTGTCGACTGCAATTTATATTTTGAATAGGTGTCCTCCCAAGATATTGAAGAACAAAGTTCCTAAAGAGGTATGGAGTGGCAAACGACCACCAGTGAGTCATTTGAAGTTGTTTGGCTCTATGTGTTACAAGTATGTTCCTGATGGAAGAAGAAGGAAGCTTGATGACAAGAGTGAACCTATGATTCTGGAAGGATATCATAAAACTGATGCATACAGACTATTCAATATAGTTAATGAGGAGATTGTGTTGAGTCGAGATATTGTGATTAATTAAAATTCAGCCTGGGATTGGAATTCTAGCAATTCAATTAACAAGCCATTGATGAGTTCTGATATCGATGAAGAAACTGATCAAGTATAGGTCAAAGGAATTGTTGAGAATCAAGTCGAAGTCGAAGAAGAAGCAATAGCTGACATTCCCGACACAGTCAAAGTCGAAGAGGTTGTGGCTGAAACAAGCCAAAGACCTCGAAGAAATAGAGTTTTTATAACAAGACTTCATGATTATGAAGTGGTGGGTGATGATGAAGTCACACCAGATGGAGAATTAGTTCATTTTTCTTTACATGCAGGTGTTGAACCAATTAACTATAGCGAAGCTGTGAAGACTAAACAGTGGAAGTTAGCTATGGTTGAAGAGTTTAGGCAATCTAAAGAAACAACACATAGGAGTTAGTCGAATTTCTAGCACATACAAAAGCTATCGAAGTAAAGTGGGTATTCAAGTTGAAACATAATGTTGATGGCTCGATACCAAAACATAAAGCAAGGTTAGTAGCTTGAGGGTTTCTTCAAAGAGAAGGACTCAAATACTCTGAAGTATTTGCTCCAGTAGCAAGATTGGAGACAATCCAACTAGTGGTAGCATTGGCGTGCAACCAAGGTTGGTCGACATTTCATTTAGATGTGAAATGAGCATTTCTGAATGGTCTTTTAGATGAAGAGGTCTATGTCACACAACCTCCAGGGTTTGTGATTCAGAAGGATGCGAGTAAAATATATAAGTTGCACAAAGCGCTCTATGGCCTCAAGCAGGTACCTAGGGCATGGAACAAGAAGACCGGCTCATACTTAGTCGAATTGGGATTTGTAAAATGAAAATCTGAGTATGGTGTCTATGTTCAGGTTGTAGCACAAGATATAACAATCATCTGGTTATATGTCGATGACTTTCTAGTAACTGGAAATAGCTTGGAGAACATGTCGAAGTTCAAAAAGCTGATGATGGAGGAATTTGAAATAACTGATCTAGGAAAATTATCTTATTTCTTAGGTATGGAATTTCAAATGTTAAAGCAAGGTATGGTGCTATATCAAAGGAAGTATGTCAAAGAAATACTCAAGAGATTCGAAATAGATGATTCGAATACTGCATCCTCACCTGTCGAACCAAATGTAAAATTGGAGAAGAATATAAAGGAAGACAAAGTCGATGTAACTTTGTTCAAGCAAATTGTGGGATCTCTGAGGTATGTGTGTAACAGTCGACCTGATATAGATTTCACAGTAGGATTAGTAAGGAGATATATGAGTGAACCAAGAGTGTCATATATGAAGGTTACAAGAAGAATCCTGAGATATTTGAAAGGTTCGATAAACTATGGAATACTATTTTGACGAGATTCTGAAGACAAAGAAGAAATAGTTAACTGTTTTCAGATGCTGATTGGTGTAGAGATAACGAAGATCGAAGAAGCACAACTGAATATTTCTTTCAAGTATTTGGTTCCCTAATTTCATGGTGTTCAAAGAAACAACCTGTGGTGGCATTATCATCTTGTGAAGCTGAATATATAACAGGATCATATGCTGCATGTCAAGCAAGTTATATCAGATATGTACTTGAAGAAATGAAGGTCGAAGTGAAGAAACCTCTTGCATTGCAAATCGACAACAAGCCAGCAATAAATCTGTCGAATAATCCAGTTCTGCATGGAAGAAGTAAACATGTTGAAGCAAGATTTCACTTCTTGAGGAAAAATGTAAATCGAGGTGAACTTGAAATAAGACATTACTCGAGTGAAGTATAGTTGGCCGACATTTTCACCAAAGGATTGAAGATTGACAAATTCCTGAATTTGATAAAGAAATTAGGAATAGTTCGGATTGACTATTTTTAAGGATGTTCGACAACTTGGATTATGGGGGTGCGTTGAAATATTAAATTAGATTTGTTAAAATATTATATTAGATTTGATTAGATTATATTTAATATTTAATAATCTAAATTGTGTAGATCCAAACCCAATTAGAATTGTATATAAATAGTATGTATCATTATTTGTACAATTTGATAATACAAATCTTTATTTCTTTATTATTTTCTTTTTCTCTTCTCATTAAAAGTGTCTCACGCACTAACAACAATTTCTTTCAAACTTCAAGTCTCTTATTAAATTGAAATTGAGAGTCTAAAAAAATTAATTGGATGATATATGTAATAAAGTTAACCTGAATATTTTCAGCAGGTTCAGATGTTGTTGTATTATTATGAATCCTTGTATGACTGCGGTATCTTGCAATTGTTTCTAGAATGCTATAACAACAAAGCCAATGACCAATTAATTCAAGATCCAAATATCTAAGTAGGCATTTGCTAAAAATTGGTTAGAAAATGAGAAAACTCATACAAGTGAAAAAATGAAATAAGAGAAAATTGAAAAGTAAAAATTTAATTCATCGCCGTTCTTTAATTTCATGTGCACTACACAGATAATCAAATTTTTGGTAATTCCTAGAAAGAAATGATTAATACAGATTTACACACCTTGTATTAGCATAAGTAAGCAATATTCTCTTGTAATTATTAGGAAAATGACAATTTCTTCGTTTTACTCTCATTAATAATACCATGTATAATATATTCGATATAAACTCAATTGCATTGTATAAGTTTTTTGAAGCATATTAGAGGAAGTACATTTAAATTGGAATCGGGAAATGGCATAACCGGTTATAACAGGCGTTTTCAGTTTTTGTTATTCTATTTTGTGTAGGTGTAACCGGTTATGGTGTTTAGCGTAACCGGTTATGAATCCGTATTTGAGTTTTTTAAGTTGTTTTGTTTTCCAACAGTTTTGTTGGATTGTATAAATATCTCTCAAGTTGTAACATTTTTGTTAATGTCATTTGTTACATATTTTCTCCTCACATTATTTTACTCTCTCTAATTTCTCTCTTTTCTCATTCCATCTTCTCTGATTAACACAAATTCTCCATTGATTCACCAATATAACTTGTGCATGTTCCAACATTTGCCATCAAAAACCTTGATTCCGATCCATAATCCATTGCAAAGATGAATATTGTATCCAATGATAGAGTTCCCACCAAGCTATCGATCTTGATTCGAAGAATTATGACAAGTGGTCAAAACAAATGAAAGTCTTGTTTGAGTATCAAGATGTTCTTGAGGTGGTCAAGAATGAAGTTACTCCACTTGAGGCAGAAGCTACAGATGCTCAGAAGAATGTATTCAAGGAAGAAATGAAGATTGATTACAAGACACTCTTCTTGATTCATTCTTGTGTCGATAGTAACAATTTTGAAAAAGTTAGCGATTATGATTCTGCGAAGCAATCTTGGGAGATCTTAGAAAAAGCTTATGCAGAAGCTGATTAAGCAAAGGTGGTGAGGTTATAAACTCACAAGAGGCAGTTCGAGTTGACTCAAATGAAAGAGAAGGAGACAAAAAATGATTACATAACACGAATCACGCATTTGATGAATCAAATTAAGTCTTGCGGAGAAACTGTTTCAGAGCAGAATATTATGTTGAAGATCTTGTTTTCTTTAACGTCAAGATTCGACAATATTGTAGTGATAATCGAAGAATCAAAGGATCTTTAGACGTTGAGAAAATATGACCTTTAAATCTCTCTTAAGACTCATGAACAAAGAATGGATGAAAGGGGAAATGACAAGGCTAACACAAAGATTTCATTACAAGCATGGTTCATGAGAAAAGTAAAAAATCAAAAGGAAAATGGCCTTTGAAAGGAAAGGCAAATTTCCAGAACTTTGGTGGAAAAGATTCAAAAATTCGAAGGGTTCGATGAAAATAGTGAGAGTTGCGCCAAAGGTAGTGGTCAATGCAACAACACCAAAAAGATTGACAAAAGTAATGTGAAGTATTACAATTGTCATAGATTTGGTCATTTCGCAAGAGATTGTAATGTGAAATTAAGAAAAAATCAAAGCGATGAAGATAAGGTTGCTCGACATGAGGTGAATGAAAAAAACGCGCTTCTGGTCATGATCACAGAGGTGAATTATGGCCGTAATAAGCTACTGGACAAAAGTTGCAGCAGTTCGAGGAATGGTGCATAAACGCGTTTGGAGCAAAACGTAATGGTAACGGTTCGAGAAAGAGTCTAAGGAAGTGATGAGTGGTACTTGGATTCTGGTTGTTTGATGCATATGACGGGTAGAAAGGATTGGTTTGTCAAAATCAATCAAGCCACAAAGAATAAGGTGAAATTCACAGACGATGCCACTTTAACGACCGACGGGGTCGGTGATGTTTTGATCATGAGTATGAATTATGGTCATTCCTTGATCAAATATGTGTTATACATTCTAGGAATCAAATATAATCTCTTAAGCATTGGCCAATTACTTAAAAAGAATTACATGATTCACATGAAAAACAAGATTTTGCATGTTTTGGACCAAAACGATGTTTTAGTCCATAAAGCGCATATGGCTTCCAATAGGACTTTCTATATAGGGTTGAATGTAATGGAGCATATGTGTCTTGTAATAGAGGAAATTCGTGATGAGTGGTTGTTGCACTACCGTCTTGGACATCTCAATGTTTGAGACCTCGACGCATTACAAAAGGAAAGTATGGTAACCGGGTTTCCAAAAATCAATGTTCCAACTGAGATATATGAAGAGTGTTTGAAAAGGAAGCAGCACAAGAGTAGTTTCAGCAAGGGTGTAGGTCATAAGACTAAACATCACCTTAAGGTGGTGTCCTCTGATGTGTGTGAGCCAATGCAAGTCGGCACTTATGGTGGCAATAGGTACTTTATCACTTTTATCGATGATTGTTTTTTAGGAAACTATGGACATACCTAATCAAGAGAAAGAATTTGGTATTTGATGTTTTTAAAAGATTTAAGTCCATGATTGAAAGACAAAGTGGTCACAAATTTAATATTCTCAAAACGGATGATGGGGTGAATATACCTCCAACGAGATTGAGAAGTATTATGATGAAGTACGAATAGTGCGTGAAGCTGTGCCACCCTATACGCCATAACTGAATGGTGTTGTCTAAAGGAAAAATTGTTCGATAATGGACATGGTTCGAAGCATGTTAAAGGGAAAAGACTTGCCGAAGGAGCTATGGGGAAAATCATTTCTACAACCGCCTATTTGTTGAATAGGTGCGCAACAAAGAAGCTTGATAAGGTGACTCTAGAAGAGTTATGGTCTGGATTTAAACCAAGCTTAAGTCATTTGATATTTTTCGATTCGATATCATTTTGACACGCTCCGGGCCAGCTTCGAAAGAAGTTGGATGACAAGGGTTTGATTATGTTACTCATTGGTTATGATCCTACTAAGTTGTTTGATGTTGCAAACAAGAAGATCGTGATTTGTCGAGATGTAGTGGTCGACGAACTGAGGTGTTTTGACAACAACAAAGAGGTTTTCCTAAGAGACTCCAAGGTTATGAAGTATTCTGAGATGATGAGATCAATGATGATGGTGGTTTCATTCACCTTGCACTTATGACCGAATTTGAGCCCGTTAGCACGGAAGAGGCATTAACCGATCCAAAGTGGGTGTGTTCGATGAAAGATGAGCTGGAATCAATTGAAAAAAACAGTACTTGGGAGTTGGTTAATCTACCGGATTGAAAGAAGCCAATCGGTGTGAGATGGGTCTATAAAGTGAAGATGAATCCCAAAGTTGAAATAGTAAAGCATAAGGCTCGATTAGTTGTGAAGATATTTTTGCAAAGATAAGGTATAGACTTTGAGAAGGTGTTTCCACCTGTTGCTAGGTTAGAAACCATAGGCTAATTGTTGGCATTGCAAATTGTAACAATTGGTCAATATATCAAATGAATATAAAATCTGTGTTTTTGAACGGTCCGCTTGAGGAGGAAGTTTATGTAGAAAAGTCCTCTAGTTTTGTTGTGACAAATCAAGAGGGAAGGATCTACAAACTAAAGAAAGCGCTTTATGGTTTGAAGAAAGCTCCTAGAGCTTGGAACAAATGCATCGATGTTTTCCTAGTTGATGTTGGCTTCAAGAAATATGTGTTCGAACATGGTGTTTATATGAAGTCGGATGCAAGCAAATATGTGATCATACTTTGCCTATATCTTAATGATTTGTTAATCACGAGTATCAATGAGATGAGTATTTATAAGTTCAAGACTGAACTTATGGAAGAATTCGAGATGAGTGACCTTGGCACTATGATATACTTCATTGGTATAAAGTTTCACAAGTCAAAAATGGGTCTGCTCATGCACCAAAGAAAGTATGCACTTGAGATATTGAAGAGGTGTGATATGGAGCATTGTAATGCTGCCAATACAGCATTTGAAGCAAGGCTACATCTGTCCAAAAGTGAAGAGGAGAAGAACGTGGATCCTACTCAATATAGAAGGTTTATTGGACCATTATGTTACTTATATAATACGCGGCCATGTTTGGCGTTTAGTGTCCGTATTACTAGTAGATTCATAGAGAGACCGAAGGTGTCTCACTTGGAAGTAGCTAAGAGGATCCTAAGATACATCAAACGAACTCTTGGCTGCGAAATTCTCTTTTCTGCGACAGATACAGGCAGAAAATGTGATTTCCTCGGTTATACTGATTCCAATTGGTGCCGAGATAAAGATCGAAAGTTTACGGCTGGTTATATATTTATGTTCGAAGGAGCATCAATTTCTTGGTGTTATAAATAGGAACCGATGGTTGTACTCTCTTCTTGTGAGGCCGAGTCTATCGATGCATCGTTATGTGTGTGTCAAGCCGTATGGCTTATGAACCTATTGGAGGAGATGGGCAGCAATGTTGAAGAAGTTGTCAGACTCTTGGTTGATAATGCTTCAGTCATTAATCTTGTTAAGAATCTCATTGCACATGGGAGGAGTAAGCATATTGATATGAGGTATAATTACTCGAGGGATCTGGTGAGTGAAGGCAAGATGAGGTTGGAATACTATTCAAGTGAAGAACAATTTACAAATTTGTTAACAAAAAGAGTCACAAATGATGTGTTCAAGAAGTTGAAGATGAACTTAGGCATGAAGAACTTGGAGTATTTTAATTAAGATGGTGTATTGGATGTACATTGTAATTCAATTGCATTATATAAGTTTCTGGGAGCATATTGAAAGAAACAACTTAAAAAATAAGCACTTCTAGAACCTGAAATTTGCATTTATCGGGTTGGTAACCGGTTACGGGAAATAGCGTAACCGTACAACAGGTCTTTCCAGTCTCTATTATTCTATTTTGTGTAGGCGTAACCGGTTAAGAACCTATGTTTGAATTTTTTAACTTATTT